GGAAGGAAGGAAGGAAGGAAGGAAGGAAGGAGGGAGGGGAAGAAGAAAGGAAAATGAGCAAGGAGAGGAAGGACAAGGAGAAGATGGGATTTGACTCCATGCCAGAGGGAAGGGGATCCCCCCAGTCCATCCCTGGCAGAACGGCACTGGCAGAGAGGTTGTCCTACAGCTGGGGGCCATACTGGGCTGGGAGATGGAGCAGGAGAGAGGGGAAAAGGGGCAGTGACTTCCTCTTCAGCTGCCTGGGTGTCTGGAGCATCTTCCTCACTGCCTCCTCCTCCTCCATTTGGCCAAGCCTTGGGAATAAGAAGTCTGGTTTTGAAGGAAAAACAAGGGGTGAGCACATTGGCCTGGGGGTTCCTCCTGCCTGAGTCCATCTCTAGAAGTCCATCTCTAGAAGATATCTCGTGTCCACAAAAACCTCCAAAACATCAAGACTCAGAGGAAAAAACCCCTCCCTGGGGTTTCCCCTTGTGGATGCTTCGGGTCCTGCCTATGTACGGGAGGAGGTTCCTCCTCTGCAGAATCTCTGCCTGCTCCAAGTTTCCCAGGGATCCCCCCACGCTGGGGTTCTGGGAGTCCCACTTCTCTGGGCTGATGAGAGTCCCAGGGGTCCACCCCTCTCTGGGGTTGCACTAAGGGATGCCGAGGGTTTTGGGGTCCCAGGGGTCCCTCCTCCTCTGACTCTCTGCTCCGAGGTGACGGGAGTCTAGGGGGTTCCCTCTCTCTGGGATTCCCACTTTGGTGTCCCAGGGTGTCCCCCACTCCAGGCTCATCCCTTCTCTGGGCTGCTCCTTCTTCAGGCTCCCTTCACGCCTGGCTGTCGGGGTCCCCCCTCCCCAGGCCCCCATTTCAGGGTAGGGACTCCACTCCCCTTTCCGCTGCCGGCACGTGGTTCTAGGGACCTCCATCCCCCACCCACCCGGCAGCCGCACCGCGACATCCCCAAAAAAAACACCTCCCAGGATCCCCGCAGTATCCACCCAAAGGGGATTTCGTGTCAGCTTTGGACTCCTACAAGATCCAAACATCGCTCCGCCCGCCCCGTCCCGAATAAAAAGAAACAGAGACCCCCAAAAGATACTTCGGGTGAGCTCCAAATATCCCTCCCTCCTTAAAAAAAAAACCCTGCCGGGACCGCCCAAGATATTCGGAGCGAGGTCGCCCTCCCCGGTCCCCTGCGGGATGCAGGGGGCGATGCTCCCAGCGCGAAGGAGCCGCAGATCCAGCGAGCGAAGGACGCACGTGGAGCCTCCTCCGGCCGCTCCTCTTCCTGCTCCTGCTCCTCCTCTACCCCTCCTCTTCCTCCCGCTCCTCCTCCTCCTCCTCCATCCTTCGGCTGCAGGCGAGGAGCTCTCGGGTGAGCGGGGCTTGGACGGGACCCGGTGGAAAGGGGTGGGAGAGGGGGATAGGGGGAGGTGGGACAGGGGGAAGGGGTTCTCAGTGAAAGGCTCCCAGTTAACTTCAGGACTCCAATTCCCCTCCCTGTCCTCCCAGCCCCTGCCGGTGTGTGGGGGCCGGGCCGTGCCCCAGTGCCGGCTCAGGGGTGCTCCACCTGGCAGCTGCAGGTGACCCCATGCTGGGGGGGTTTCCAGCAGCACCAGGAGCTGGTGGGTCCAGTCCCCCCACGTCGGTGGCCACAACTGAGAGCTTCTGCTGGCCCTGGAACCACCTCAGCTGGGTGTGGAAAGGGTAGAACAGAAAGGGCAGCCGGGGCCGAGCTGGAAGCTCGAGGGCCCCAGCGACACGGACTCGCTGGGATGGGCAGAGGGCTTGGGGACTCCCAGCAGTGCGAATCTGCGAGGACCCCCACCCCAAGCCGCAGGAAATTGCTCAATGGCACGAGTGCTGCTAGACAGGGAACCATGCTTCTTCAATCTCAATCGCACCTTTCCCTCCCCTCTCCCCCTGTTTCTTGTTCCCCAAATCTACAGATCCAACACAATTTGGACTTTCCAGCACCCTGCCCCACTCTTTGGAGGTCCCAGCCCCCTCTATTCCCCCATTCTCTTGCCCTTTCCCAACCATCCCATAAATCCCCAACCCCCTCTTCCGTGCTTGGGTTTGGGGGTTCCAGGCCACTCCTGCTCAGTCACACATCCTCTTTCTCTCAATTCACATCCCTCCTGGCTGCTTTTTCCTGGGAGGAATCCCTGAGTTTTGGGACTTTTGGGATGTAGCTTAGGAGGGGGACAGCTGTGTCAGGCTTTCCCCTCCCTGTTGTAGCCCCTCAGCTGTCCCCGACACCCTGGGGGTGCTGGGATTTCCCTCCTAGGGACAAGGACGTTCATCCCCTTCCAGGGGCCCAGTGCCCAGCTCGGGCTCCAGGTCAGGGGTCCTTGAGCAGCTGCCCCAGAACCTCCGCCAGGGTCTCCCAGTGCAGCCGGAGCCGCTTGGCCTGGGCTCCCCAAAGGCCTCAGCAAGGTCCAAGTCCTGCCCAGGAACCCTCAACTCCCTCAAACCCAGCATCCCCCTCATCCCCTGCAAGTTCCTCCCATGGCACCGGCCATGGCTGTGTCCCCACTTGTCACTGCCCATGTCCCACCATGTCCTCACCCATGGCTGTCTCCCCGCCATGTTTCCATCCCTGTCATTGTCCCCACATCTCCATTCATGCCCATGTCCCATTCTAGACAGATGAGATTTGCTGTAAAACATAAGAGGAGAAACAGCAATCATTTAATCCGTGGTCTGCCAGGGAACCACAAAACCGTGTCCTATTCCCATCCTTTCCAAGTTTGGCTGGAACATGAGCTGCTTTCTTATTTCCTTTCTTATCTGTTTCACCACTTTTCCTTTATAATCTCTTTGCAAGCAACAGTTTCAGCCATTTAATTTTCCACAAACTCCTCCTTTTTCTGCTATAAGATAATCTGATCCCATCCCATGGTGAAATGTTGTGTTCCTCATTTCAGTGGATTGGTCAGCAGGAAGGTCAGGAGCTGGAGCTGTCTGGTTGGTTCTTATTAGGAGAACAGCTTGTCATCTAATGATGCCTTTGAAATGATAAATGGGTTCTCTGTCTCCTGATATGAGTTCCTTAGGGTTCCCAGGGGCTGGTCCATGGTGTTGTAGGATTTTTTCTGGTGGCCATTCATCTTTTCCCCATTTCTGGGTGCTGCCTCCAGCCAGGGCTGCATCACTTGACTGCTTTTCTCTAATTAAATAATCAAATGTTTGGATTCCAACTGATTTCTCTGTACTTTTGGTAGAAAAAAAACTCCAGTGCTCTAATACACCCTGTATAACATAGACAGTGACAGCACATGTTGGAGTGGACAGAGGGATGATTCCCCCCCACTTATTTTAGTTTTTATGACATTCTTTATTTGCTGTTTCCCTCTGCAGCTTCAGCCATTTCTGTTGCAGAGTCAGATATGCTCACCATGGGCTCTGCCTTTAGCTGTGCAAATTCCATCTGTGCAAGCAGGCAGAGCTTGGGGTGAGGGGCAGAGGGAATCAGCCAATTCCTGCCTCAGGCAAGAGACCGAGGAACATTGTTCCCACTTTGCCCCAGCAGTTTAATTTGCATTTCTAAAGCTCCTCTGCTGGCTGCCTGGAAGGAATCTTCTTTTCCTGGGAAGCCATTCTGTGATTCATGTGTGGCCAAAAGCTACTTTTAACAATACAATATTAACTGTTTACCAGTTTAAAGGTCATCTTTAAAGCTCTTCTGGTTTTTAAAAATGAAGCCTAAAGGTGAATTCTGCAGACAATGAGGCCGCTCTGGCCACGGGTGAAACATTTTAGCAGAAGAATTCCTTTGGCATGTCCCTGTTTAATATCCACATACATTTCAAATTCTTTTTTCCTGTCTAGGAGGGCCAGGTCAGCAGCTGCAGTTAAACTTCATTTTAACACTTGAAAATTCTGTTTTCCTCGTGTCCAGCCATCCATTTTCTTGACTGGCAGGTTAGGAGTGCTGTAGGGAGACATCCCTGGCTCCAAGGGCCCTGCCTTTACCAGGGACTCAATACCAGGCTGTGAGCCCTTCCTTCCCTCCCCTGGAACAGGGTGTTGCTTTTAGACACCACTTGTCCTGGTTGCTTCAAAGTAATTTGGAGAGGCTCCACATCAAATTTTCCCTCTTTTCCTGCGGCTGCCCACACCTCTGTGTTCACTTCGGCACTGGCTTTGCCACTTATCTGAGTCAAAGGTACAGCATTAGCCTCTGCTTTACCTTTTAGAATATAAATCTGTATTTCCACATTCGCCATCAAATCCCTTCCCAGGTAAATAATGATCACAATCAGGAGGAAGTAGAAATCCATGCATTTCAATTCTGTCTCCCACATCTACTAATAGTGGTTGAAGAATACTCACCTGCTCATTTTTCCCCCTTAGCTCCTGAATGATCAAACAACTTCTTGACAATCTTCCCCCCTTACATCTGAGATTCAAAGGAGATTGAGAGGCCCCTGCGTCCATCAGGAGAGGCCTCTTGATTCAGAGCCACCCTGAATGTTCTCAAGGGCTCCATTGTGGTGCCCCGGTGGGATGGGAGCTGTGACAGCCCTGCCAATCCATGTCCATGCAGGGGTGGACTTGCTCCTGCTGAGGGTGCTGCTGTCTGTGCTTGCAGTGTCCTTGTGGGCTGCAGCTGGAGCCCTGACTCCTTCCCAGGGGCTGTTTGGGTGGGCTCTGCCCTGGCCAGGAGGGCAATGCCTCTGCCAGGTGCTTGTGGCCGACCCCGTCATGCCCTGGGTGCTGGG